CATCGTGGTTGATTTTCGTCCTTACATCGAAATACTCTTAGTATGGGTGCCCACTTATTGAAGCCATAGTTCAATTTTTATTCGTCTTATATGGTAAAAAATCTCTTTTTAATGATGAGTGCAAGCTGTTCCGTTTACTACTAAATGCGTGTGCCATGTTGTTCGTTTTTAAATGACACATAAGAGTTATAAGAAAAATACTACGATATTTATTTATTTTCTCTTCTGAAAATAAAGGACCCTACATATAATTCTAGTAGCAGTATAGCATTTCATGTGTGAATTGGTTTCTGAAAATCTAAGTATACAGTTTTTACAATCTGTTTTCGAGAGTCCCCATTTTCGGAAATCACATCAATGAATCTTTATGACGCATTGTCTTATCGGAAAACGAAAAAATCCAACCTTTTCTCCACTTAAAAAAATCCATATGCGAAGTATATAAGAGTTATTGTTGCTTATTTTCTTTCATTCGTACGCGACTCATGATAACAAGTGAGAACATATTTTTCATAGGTAGAGAAAGAATCTGTTCGACAAATAACTTGTGAATTGCCCACCATTATCACGAACTCATTCCCGACAACTTTGAAGGTAATTATTGACTAGTTTAGTCTCCAATTAGATTTTTGCCAATAACAATGCGTTTAGCATGCTTTTGAGAACTAATCATGGCAATTCGTTATATAACTTGAGCAATTCGTATTGGCGAGTTTATGACACTACTTCTATTATCATTAAGATAAAAAGAAATATGTTTGCCCATAAAAGAGAATGCAGCTTGAATTTTCAATGAGTCATTGGAATAAAATTCATCTAGTTCAAACCCTATATTTACTTTCAGATACCCACTGGTTCAAAGATGGATAATTCAGTCAGTAATGCAACCCCATCAAAAGAAACATCGACTGCTATTATTTCTGAATTGCAAACTGCCTTTGTTTATGAAGATTTAGTCTTTCATGTACAAGCTATTCAACAGCAAATAATTGAAATAGTGAAATTTATTGATGATCACTGTAAAAATAACAAGGAAATAAGAAAAGAATTCAAATCACGTCCATTAACATTTATTGATTCTTATGGAAATTCAACAACCGATGAATATTTTGATCATCAAATCATCAGTACAATATTCAGTAGCTATAAGAACGATTATGTCCCGAAGTATTTACAAAAATGGATAAAAATTGGAAAAATGAATGAAAACGGTATTTCACCATTGAGTGAAGATGAGCTCAATTCGTCTGTATCCGAATATGATGATGTTTATCGGTTTATTCAAGGGGGAAAAAACTCATTCCGAGCCATTCGAATGGTTAGGAATGGATAGGAATGGATAGGAATGGATAGGAATGGATCGGAATGGATAGGAATGGATAGGAATGGATAGGAATGGATCGGAATGGATCGGAATGGATAGGAATGGATAGGGATGGATTGGAAT